TAGGTTTACTTAACAGTATTATATTTCGTTCATATTATAACTCAGAATGCACAAAATGTTTATCATTTAAAGAATTATCTAATTGTTGCCACATGTGCTATTCAAATACTATAATAAAGCTAGAACGCTGTATAAAAGAAATTAAAATTTAGCAAAAATAAATTTTATTTTGCGGTAGGTACGCTACCATCCTAATAATATGCATATTTTTTTATAGCGCTAATGCTTGAGGCCATGATTAAGATCAATGCAGAAATTAACAATGGTTGCAAGGGAAACATCTTAATATCTTATGTACCATAATGCTGTGTATACAAAATTGGTGATAAATGTTCGAAACAGGGGGATATTCAAATCGAGGAATAATGTGCGAAAGACGCGAAGATTAGTCACGGCTTCAACGTTCAAGGAATTAAAAATATTTGATGAAGATTTAGTGGGCATTCAACGTGTAAAAAAAAGTCATTACTTTGAATCAACGTATTTATGCCCGTTTTGCCATTCTGGAACTGAGCAAGCTGCATATGTATCACTATGATCATACGAAGCGGAACTATGGATTACTAACTATTAATAGAGTACTGTATGTCGTCGGTTTTTTAATTATATCAGCTATTTTTGATAGAACATTTTCATGTGAGGGGAAGTTTGACCTCAAATTTAGTTGCATCCTTTACATATGCATTTAATGCTAGTACAATATTTGCGGTTTTAAATACAATATCTTTCTATAAGCTTCTGTTTAGTTCACTCATGATGTTTTATTGTGAGTGGAATTTTGTAATCGATTTTCAACCTATATCCTGGTAGATATCGAATTCTAATTTTGTACGCACACGTTTGGCCGATGACAATGCTAGGTGTTTAGTCGATTCCCCCCCTCCCCCCGAAATTTAGTTTCGTTTCTTTATTTAATGTTTAATCAGTTTCCCGTTCATATCTTTGGTCGATTGAACATATCACAATTTTACATTTTGCACGATCGAATGCAATGGGCAAAAAAATATTTTCAATGATACGTGTATGAAAATTGTAACTTAAGTTCTGGCAAATTTTTGAAAAGCACTCAAGTTTTTTAGATTATTTGGCATTTTTTATATTTAAATTTCAACATCTAAAAATGTATCATGTATAAAATATTGGAATTTTCACAGATAATAAGACAAACCTTTCGCTCTCTTTTGAAACAAAAATGATAAAAGAAATATTAATCCAGAGATTTTCTATATTCTTTTAAAAAATGTGTTGTAGTCCGAAGCAAACGGAAAAAAAGCTACCAACTTAGCGCACATATTAACAGATTGGTGTTATTTATTTTGTATAAGCATTTTTTATTGATAACGTGTAACTGAAACTTAAAATCCAAAAATAAAATACAATTGAAAAAAGGTTTTTAAAGAATAAGCTTTAATTTTAAATAAATAAGACAATTAGTATGTAATAAAAGCGTGTGGCGCCCATAATAAATTAAAGAAGATAATGGTATGAGTAGCACGAAACAGCCGGTTCACTGGCAGAAGGCGGATTAAGCCCGCACACCGAGGCGCAGCTAACTGATAAGAGTTTTATTATTCTTAATTTAATTGATAAATAAATATTGTCGGTATTCGAACCTGTAACAAAAGTTCATAGGGTAGTACTCTGTTGGATTGCTTTAGAGCACTACCTTATGATCTCTGGTCACTTATTGATGTATGTGTTAAAAAGGAAGTATATTTTTTAAGACCACCTCCCAGTGCAGTTAATTGCACCTCGAAATTTAGAACGGAAAAACGTTTGCATAGCTTTACGTAAGCTTTCCATAACTTTTTCCAAAGTGTAACACAATATCTATAGTGTTAGGAAACTTAAAATTAAAGAAAACGTTAAAGTAAAAATTAAGAAAAAAAAAAATGTGTTCAAACTAAATGTAAAAATAAAATTTCAAATGAGAAAAAAAAAAAAAAATAAAATGAATGAAATAGGTTAAATGTAAAAAGACAAATTTAGGCAAAAAGTAACGTCAAACTTAGAGCAAGAAATTAAGAAACATCAATCAACAAAATACGTTAAATTAAAAACAAATTAAATGTATAAAATATCATTGAATATATAGAAAGTGAAGGAAATACGAAAAAAAAAAAAAAAAAAAACCTCGAAATGCGAAGAAAACATAAATACAGTTTTAAATAGGCATTATGTCCATATGCGTAGTTGTTTAGATAGTCTTTGTAAGTAAAATGTCTGACGTGTTTCCTCAGCGCTATTCTACTCAGCCTTTTGATTGTTTTCTTTTATCAACTGGACTAAGCAAAGAATGCATTCATGCTTTCAGGCTGACGAATTCATGAACAGGTGTTCCATTCAGTTCGTCCTTTAAGGGGTCAATTCTTTTTTTATTCTTCTCACTGTAGGGAGGATGTTCTTTTGCATAATCTGACATATCGTAGAAATCCAAATGCAGCCTCGTATCTCTATTACTGTCCTCTCTTTGTACAGAATAAGTTAATGAATCTATATCTGTAAAAAGTAGTTCATCTCTTGGTCCATAGTTCCGCTTCGTATGATCATAGTGAAACTGATACATAGGCAGCTTGCTCAGCTCCAGAATGGCAAAGCGGGCATAAATACGTTGATTCAAAGTAATGGCATTTTTTACACGTTGAATGCCCACTAAATCTTCATCAAATATTTTAAATTCTTTGAACGTTGGAGCCGTGACTAATCTTCGCGTCTTTCGCACATTATTCGCGATTTGAATATCCCCCTATTTCGAACAATTATCATCAGTTTTATATACACAGCATTATTCATTAATTTGAAAAAAAATGTTTTCAAATGTTCAACTTATCCTTTCTTCAATGTTAAATTTAATATTTTGGGATAGCCAGGGCTTGTGTGAAATTTTAATATTTTATGCACTCGTGTTAATTTTAAACCTTTTTCTAAATAATATTTCACATTTCTATAATGTATCACAAATTTTTGTTTGTTTTACAAATTGGTAACTAATTTACGAATCTTTCCTGGGCTTTTTCGTCCTTTCTTTTGTAATATACAGATTGAATAGGGAGTTGACTCTTCAGTTGTTATTCAGCAAATAGTCACATATTCCTCAGGAACAGATCATGCAGTTTCTGAGGATATTTTATAGCCAGTTCTAAAACATAGGCCACGGTTCCATATTAATGTGACGATAAAATGTATTCTACAGGGTGATTATAATTAAAGTTTAAGTTTCAAAACGCTATAAAAAAAGAACCACTGATGAAAATGATGGGAAATTTGAAAGGAATGTTATTGAAGAAGGCGGAAAGCCTATGGCAAAAGAAAAAATTTAGTTTCAAAAGTTAGCAACAGATGGCGCTGTAAGCGGCAAAATCACGACGAGAAACGAGAAATGATTCGTAAAACAACGGCTAAGGTGAAAGTTACACATTAAAACGCATTGACAAATTAGAATTGCTGAATAATTTTATTTGCATGACTGTACATATCACATCAAAAGGGACAAATCGGTTTCAAGAGTTTTGCAGCGACATACCGCATGAGAACCATTCATCAAAGAAGTTTGGAACTGTCGCGAGACTGGTGCAAAACATGTTCAATATGGTGTCCACCGTTGTGTGCAACAAGTTGAAAGCGACAAACAGCATGTTCCACAACGGATCACAGTGTCTCCGGGGTGATGTTCAGAATGTGTTGCGAAATGCGTGCCTTTAATTCCGCTAAATTTTCAATTGGAGCACGGAACACAACATCCTTCGGATATCCCCACAGCCAGAAATCACACGGAGTAAGATCAGGCGATCGGGACGGCCAGGCTGTAGGGAAACGACGGCCGATAATTCGAGCATTTCCGAAATGGCGCCACAGCAGCTGCTTCATGGGATGTGCAATGTACGGAAGGAATGCCATCTTGTATAAAAATTATTTCATCGACACATCCACGCTGCTTGCAGAGCTGGAAGACGTGGTTTGTGCAAAAGAGCCATCCTCTGACCAGTGACGGTTGCGGTAACAGGACCGGAAGCACCCGTCTGATTGAAAAAATATGGCTGTGTAGGACGAATGATGGCGTAAAGCCACACCATACCGTGACCTTTTCAGGATGAAGTGGTACGGGATGCGGTTGCCAGTGGATTTTCTGTTGCCCATATTCGAACAATTCTGGGTATTCACGTATGCCCTGTCAGATGGAAATGGGCTTCATCTGTCCACAAAATTTTCCACGGCCATTCATTATCCACTTCCATGCGAAGCCAGGAATTCTAACGCAAACGTCTCCCTTAGCTGTCCAGGTCAGACGGAAGCAACTTCCTGCACATGGCCAATTTTGTACGGATAGCATTGCAGGATGTTTCATTGTACAATTTTCAGCACCGTGCTCGTAGGCCTGTCCAATGTTCGAGCAATTCCTCGTGCACTGCACGCGTTGCACACCACCGGCCGACCCCTCCTGTAATGCTGTGGCCACTTCTTCAACTACCGTCGAATGGACTCGTTTTCTCCCTCTACCAGATTGCACATCAAACGAACCTGTCGTTTTGAATTTTTGCATCATTTTCTTTAGATCCTCACGACACTCATTGGACCAACGCCTTCTTTTATACCCTTCAGTGTCCTGAATTTTTGCAGAGCTACTCTTGCATCATCATCAGCTCTAGTAGTGACAGCTTTATTAGAGGACGGTCCTACAGTAAAACCCCATGGCGAATGTCCGAGATGCGAAATGAGGACCTGGCAGCTTTTATAACACTGAAAACTTTAACTAACATTTTAATTTACGTCTTCTTCGCTTGCAGCGCCATCTGTTGCTAACTTTTGAAACTAAATTTTTTCTTCTGCCATACGCTTTCCGCCTTCTTCAATAACATTCCTTTCAAATTTGACGTCATTTTCATGAGTGGTTCTTTTTTTATAGCGTTTTGAAACTTAAACTTTAATTATAATCACCCTGTATATGAACGGTGGATGGTGTGATCCAATGAAATTCTCCATAAGACAGGGGCTGGGATGCTATGTCCTACCCACATAAATCATTAGCATCCAATAACATGATAGAACTGGATGGTTTGATATGATCATAACGGGACAGGTATTTATTATTTGCTTCGATGGAATATCATGTAGATACCTCCCCGAATGCCTCTTTCGATAAACAAAAACATATCTAGATCTGCCAGAAGCTGTAATTTAATTCCAGTCATCTCCACACCATCTCCGGTGATGTCATAACATAATCCTATTCATAATTTTTTTAACACAAATTTCTAAAGTTTTCAAATACGTCCGCTAAAAGAAGAACATCGGATTTTACATATAAATCATTGTAGTCCACTAAGATATGATGTTTAAAAGTCTCCCATACATTTAAACTTCCGGAGTAATCCTAATCAGAAATATGTCCTTCTCCGAGAACACTGTAAAAGAGCCTCTTGCGGCGGTAAAAACTTTTCTTCAAATATTTTGAAAGAAGACATGTATTCATATGGATACACACCCTTGCGTTATAACAATTCACATTCCTCCTTTCTAAAGTGCTCTTTCAAACGTCGAAATTTTTCTCCTTCATATTTTTCACTAATTTTTCTAATGAGATATTCGAAAATTGGAGGCTGTCTACAAATTGTAAGCTTTCTTTATCCTCATGTTTCACTAAACTGAAGGGAATATATTTATATATTAGTATCCGTCTCGCAACCCTATTACGTGACCTCGTTCAAACTCACTGACCTATTGAGAATGGCTTCTTCGTCTTCTTAAATCAACTCACTGTGTCAAATCGCAAAGATAAGCAACGCTCGCGAACTTTACAGCGTAAATTTGATTTGCATGTTCATAGTGACGCTACCAGCTCCACACTGATGCGCCTAGCACGAAGCTTAGGAAGGATGCTATGATATTCAGTTTTATTCTTAATTTTTATATTATTTGAAAGGAATAAATAAATATTTTTTCCAATTAATAACAGAATTTTATGCACAAATTTGAAATTAATGTATGCATATAAAATATCAAAGATGAATTCGGAAATAAATTTATTAATTTATTGTTACTTTTCGAACATTCAAAAAGGAATAAGTAATGGGCCCTTAGGCATTCCCTAATCTTCCCTATCTATAGCTATGCCAGTGGTTGTAAGACACATTCCTAAATGCTCACAGCGTGGGTTTTCTGATACTACGTAGGTGCTCTAAACCTAACTGCCCACGTGCATATGGAATATGTGAATCCGCTGTCTTTACATTGGGCAGTTTTCCCAAATTCAAAGGAAATGTTTTTTATAGTTTCTCGAATTTTGTTGACATGTTATTTCTTTCGGTTCTTGAGGTTGCTGATGGAAAAAAAAAAAAAAAAAAAAAAAAAAAAAAAAACCTTAATTAACTCTCCAAGTATACAGGGTGTATCAATACAAACTTTCAGGAGAGATAGAATACACCTAGACGATGGGAAATCACATAAGAATTGCATGGTCGGAAACGCTATCCTTGAGCGGTAATGACAAAACAAAAGTCAAGAAAGATAGGACATGAACGGTGTGAGAAAACATGTGCATTATTCCTAGGACAACAAAAACAAAGAATAAACAACATAAAGAGAAGGTGTTCGAAATTACGACCCAGATGGTGATGCAGGAACCATGCGTCATGCATTTTCCATGCGATCTTACATGCACCAGACAAGTGAGGGCTGCATCACGGTCTGGGATCGTAATTTCGAACACCTTCTTTAGTGACGATCTTTGCTTGTTTTTCTGATTTATAGGTTTCTGCTGTACTAAACATAATAAAATATGTTTTGTCTCACTGTTTGTGTCCTCACCACCGCGCCAAGAAAGCGTTTCCGACCATGCATTTCTATGTGATTTCCCATCATCTAGGTGTACTCTATCTCTCCTAAACGTTTGCCACAGCTGTACTGATACATCCTGTATAAATGTTGAAAGAAGGATCAGCAGCATCTGAGTAACCTCCTGATTCTTAGCACTAGCACGAAACTCCTGAATCGTCTGGAATTCGTAATACCTAATATAAAGACTGGTTCATACTTTCGGAGTTTGCTTTCTGCTTATTGCTGCTACATCACAAGTAAACTTGATCGAATTGAAAAAAAAAAAAAATAAAAAAATAAATAAAATAAATAATAAAAAAAAATCTGAAATGTTTCAGATTTTAAATTACGTCCAAAGGGGCGTTTTTTTAACATTTTGTGTGTTACCTTTCTTTATTAAATATCATGTTCCTCGCACTTAAACCATAAGATTCCAGTGCAACAGCAATATCGCAAAATAGTTTTAAAACGAGCATATCTTTAGAATTTCCGATATACAGAGTCTCGCGAGCTGGAGATAAAAGTATTTTTTTTTTTCTATACAACGTTGCCATTGCTCGCTTTGAAATCCTTGAGTTTGTTAATCAAAAATTCGTCAAAGTTTTAAAAAATAGGAAATCGATCATAAAACAAATTTCAAATTTGGTCTTTCCACATGCTCATATTCGTTGGAGGATTACGTTATTCAAAATTCGATGACTCTATGTACCGTTGTTTTATCACAATGCGAGAAATATACAATCATTTATGCAGATTTTTCATTATTTAATTTCTTCAATTTCTTCAAATATAATGCAGGACTCTAACATTTTGTGGCAACAGTTTGAAAAGTGAACCGACGTTTCTGAGTCCGACGCAAAATCGCAAAACGAAAACAATAGTCCTTCAGGGACAAAGCCCCTTTGGACTAAAAAAGAATGGGGCTTTTTACTCGTGCTAAATGTAAGCAATTCCTTGAAGTAATATTTTATCCCAGTTGTAGAGTCATTAGGTTATTTTTAAAGTAGGATTGATGAAAAATGAGCAACATCCTGGCCGGGAATCGAAGCATGGACCTCTGGAATACGCACCTAGCGTGCTGATCACTGCACTGCGAAGGCATGCTAAGAAGGCGGGAGAAATACCTTATACATTTCTCAACAGAATATGACAGAACAACGTTTATTACTTCATGACTTCAAACTAATGTATTAATAATAAAATAAGAACAGTTAATTAAATATTATTAGTGATATATTCATAAATATGTGGAAGATTTTGAATCATATATGTTTTCGAAACGTACTAAAAGGGATATAGGTTGTGGAAAATAACACGAAGTAAGATTAAGTTCTTCCACATATTTAGTAATGTGAGTAATCTATTCCTTTTTGCATTCTTTCATTGAAAATTCAAGGAATTCTGTTGGTTTCTGATTAAAAAAGATTATTTTTCAGTTAATATAAATGGAAGCATTTTTTCAAAATACATTCCTTTTCAGGTTTTGCAACGTCTCTTTGACGCTGTGAAGCAAGCTTTGAAGAATCATAACATTGAAGATATTAAACGTATTTTAAAACAGGATTTCCATGCGGATTATGTCTTCCATTCGGTGATTAAATCTTCCGTTCGGAATCTATTCTTACGAGTAAAAGCTTCTGTACCACGTAATTTTAGCTTATTTCGATATAAAGGTTTAGAGTATTTCATGACTGTAAAAGAACCATTAAAATTAAAATTATATTTGCTGCTGTAAGTTAATAAGAACGGTTTATTAAGGTAAAATGTTTCTAAGATAAGTGCTATCCCCTTGATGTCCAGCAGAAATGTTCATTAAACAAGAAAATGATTTTTGCAAATTTAGTAGACTTGAAATCACTGCTCATTACCTCGTGGAAGCCTTGAAGGCCCCTTTCTTAACATTTTAGACAGAATTCGCTACTCCGTGTTTAGATTTATCGATGTTGATTCTTGAAAATGGGCTGTTTCATTTGAAAGCATTGTGGGAAAATATAAAAGTTTGAAGTGTTACTAAGATACATTTTGTCAAATTTTATTTAAAAATTGAACTTAAGGTTTCAAGAGTTTCATCTCTGTGATTCATTGACTATATTTTTTTATATTTCTTTAATAAATAAATTTTAAAACTATATACTTAAATTTGTTTTCCATAAACTTTGAATTTCGGATTTTCCTTCAATTGAAAATTTTAATATTAAGCAAAATATATTTTATTTTTTGTGTTCTTTATGTTATTTATACATGAGATGATTATTGTGTCGTGGTTTTCTTTATAATTCGTTTTAATAATTAATATAAATTATGATTCTATTTATGAAAAAAAAATAATTCAATTTTTCTTAAAAAGGATAATCCACTGATATGGAATTAATTTAATTTTAATGGTAAAGAAATCTATCTAGGTTTTTTTAATATATTTTTGCACGTGATATTATAATAATTCATTACTTCTGAAATTTAGATTTCTTATAAAAAAACTTTATCAATTTATTTTGAGTTAAGTGAACAACAATGCTGGATAATAAATTCAGAAAACTACCTCTCAAGCTGTTTTTACCATTTTTAGTTTGTGGAGAGAAAAGTACTCTTTTTTTTCCTTTCCTACAATTTCGGACTATTCGTGCTAAAAATTTTATGTTTTTAACAAATGCTTTTTATTAACTTTCATATTAAACAACAAAGAAAAAATCAGAAAATCTTTCTTTCTGATGTAATATTTATGTAAACAATGATCCAATTATTTCAGTAATTGTCATGCATTCCATTTTGATAAGAACGTCTTAAAATCCTTTTAATAAATCATACGTGAATTCATATTTACTTAATTTTACTAGACGTTTTCATTTTAGGCAATTTTTATTTTCAGACAAATTCTCAAGTACTCATCTTTGGGAATTAAATTATGATGGTGCTTTAGGAAATACTTTGCTTCATCTGGGGGCCAAGATTTCAGATTATGAGTTAGTTACATTGCTTCTAAATAGGGGAGCTGATGTTACCAGCATGGACACATGCGGACGAACAGCTCTGCATATTGCTTGCGAAAAAGGCTCTTTAGGTAATGTTAAGAATGTTTTAAACATGTTTATATCCTTTACTTACTTTAGTGAAATAACTCGTACATTAAATGAACAATTAATATTTAATTGATTGAGTAGTACATGACTTGTGTATTAAATTTGTAAACTCTTATACTTTTATTATGATACTCAAATGAAGAGGAAACTGCAGTTTACTTAACCTGATTACCAATTTGCACGCAATATATTTAATTACATATGATTTATAACAAAATACCTCTATCAGAAAATATGAACTGAGAAACCTGAAAAGTAAAGCAAATTTTAATAACGATCACTCATTCAGTAAGTAACGCATTAATAATTCAAGAAAACGATTTAACAGTTTTAACAACTGCATTTATTCTCCAAACGCCTAGAAAGAACACCAGAAGCGGAACGCAAGATCGCTAAGTGCCGGCGAACGGATTAGTTCAGTGGTTTATTTAGAGTGTGACGCTATACGACAGCTTTCTCTTAAATTTTTTTCCACGAAGTTGTTCTTTCTTCTACAAAGAAAATTTGATTGCTTTGAAAAAATTCTGTTAATTTAGTCTCTAAAAATGCATTTTTTTCTGCGTATTCGTTGAGAAAATCTAGAGCGGGAAATTGTATCTCTGTGGGCATCCAGAAAGTAATGAGAATAAAGCAGGTATTTGGAAAATTTTCAGGTTTAAATACACTTCTTGAGAAGGAGTACAAATAAGGTTTCCCTTGGTCGATGCGTGTATACAAACATCTAAAATTTCACTTAATTATCCGAATATTACAGTCACACAAATTTGCAGGATTTAGTGCAAATGATTATATTCAGCCTTCCACACATATTGATTTAAGTGGCATGTGAATTCACTTTTCCACCATTATTTAAAAGCGCTTATTGAAAATGATTTTAATTTAAAAATTAATTAATGTTTCTGAAAAGCGTTTTTTTTGGAAATAATTTTTGGTCCTTTTTAGCTTTTTAGCATCCCAAATTTTGCCCGAAACTCGCATCAGGCTTAAAAAAAAAAAAAAAAAAAAAAAAAAAAAAAAAAAAATTAGTTCACTGGAGACATTAGGTATTTTTTAGAAGCAGGCAATATGAAAAATTAGCAAAGCCTCTGCCGAGAATCGAACCACGAACCTCTGGAATACGCGCCCAACGTACAGACCACCACACCACGAAGGCATGCCAAGAAGGCGGGAAATATACCTTATATCACTCGCGTAATTTCTTGCAAAGGTCAAAAGTTTTACCATTGATTTTAAAATTATTTCTCGTTATGCTATCGAGCTCAGGTTTTATACACCACTAGTTCTGAATGGCAGTGCAATAGAGCAAAATGATTTTTCCAATTTCGATTTAGATTTCTTTTAAATGTAGTGTTGAAATGATTTTTCCCACATATCTTCGTTTAACGAACAAATCAAATTCTGATAAATTTACTGTCTCAATCATTAGGTAAAGCGAAAATAATCTTTTAAATGATATGTGTATGAAATTTTCAACAATATTTCTGATTTTTTTCGAAAATCGCTCGATTTTTTTAAAAATGTTTGATTTTTATTATTTTTAAATTTCAACATCTGAAAAGTGTATTAGTAACAAAGTTTCTAAAACAAGCCCATCTCTCTCTTTTAAAACAAGAATCACGCACACAAAAAAATTATAATTTAGGCTATTGTCTATATTTTTTTAAAATATGTTATAAAACATTATAAATATTCTCTGAAACAAAAGAGAATTCTTCCTTTTGCTAGGAAAACGCTTCGAAGTTTATTATGTTATTACGTCACACTTATCAGTCAATTCAATCTTTGTTTCGAGTTCGAGCAATCGATATAAAGGATATTTATTATACATCAGCTATCCCAGTCATTTGAAGTGAATGCAGTTTTTATTGTTTCGTTTTGTTTATAGTTTTAAACATGTCTGTAATTGCTAGATGAAAGAATGAATTAAAAACTAACCGTTAAAGACTTAACCATTATAGCAGTTAATATTTGCTGTAATGTATCTAATGGAGAATACTAATGTTTACAAAACTTATTTTGAATTAGTAAAAAAAAAAATGGCAGAATTGTTTATGGATGACAATGCAATGTAATAAACGATGTACAAAATCGATTTGACTTTTTTTATTAACTATTGGAACGATTTTTTGCACATATCTCCGTTTAAAGGACAATCTAAAAATCTCAGAATTTTATTGCTCTCACCATCGAATAGAAAGAGAAAAAAGTCTGAAATAAATTGTACGAAAATTTTAATATGATTTTTTATTTTATGGCGAATCAAAAATCTACAATTATTTTCTTGTTTTCTAATTTACTGTACACTTAAAGGTGATGCATGTATTCTTTTTCAGAAATTATGAAGTTGTTAGCTGAAAAATCGCCAGCATATATTCTTGACCTGCCTAGTGATTTTGGACATACTCCTTTAAACGAAGCTTGTAGATGTAACTCTCCAGAAGTTGTTCAACTCCTTTTGTCACATGGCAGTAGTGTGGATATAAACGATGTTCAACGATATGGTCCTCTATTAAATGCTGTATCTAATGTTGCAGAATATGCAACGCCTATTGCATCTCTGCTTTTAGACGCTGGTTCAAACGTAAGTAATGAAATCAAATGCTTTCTGCGAATTTAAATCTCAGCAAACAGTCTTAGCGAAAACATTTATCGCCAAGAAAATCCATAAAAGTCAAATATTAATTATTAATTTCCTTCATAAGTAGAAAATAAAAGCAAGTAATTCTTGTTAAAAAGAGAAACAGTCTGCAATCTGTTAATTGTTCAACAAACAATCTGTTAATTGGCTTACAAAAGCGAATTTTTCAGAAATTAAATAGCCAATTTATTACTCAGTGAAAAAGCTAGAAAATTATACAAATTTATAGATTTACAGAAAAATTTCTTAATTCACATTTATTGTAATAAATATTTTGCATGTTTTTATTTCATCTTTCATTGTAATTGGCTTTACTTTTAGTTGGCAACGTTTGTTATGGAAGGGGGGTGATAATTTCCTGAGATACAAAAGATATTTAAATTAATTGCATTTATTGCCTTTGCTAATCTAATAGTCAAAGAAACATAACAGACAGAAGGCATATTAACGCTTGAGCACCTTAAATCCTCTTGGTAAAGTATAAATATGCCAATAATAATGCAGCTCTTTCTATTTTGTATTTTATTGCAGTATTATATTATGTTTAATTTTTATCCCAAAAGGGCGTTAACCCGAATGGGCTATTAGTCTCGAAACGGAATTTTGCTTCATCCACTATAAAAGGCGAATCACTTTTCAAATTGTTGCCACAAATATTATTACCCTATATTATATTTAAAGAAATTAAATAATGAAGAATCTGCATGTATGTGTGCATTTTACTCGAATTGTGAAAAAACGGCGATACCTAGAGAGCCATCAAATTTTTAAAAATATAGACTTCCTGAACATGGTGCTTCTCGAAGCCGTGTTTGGAATTTGGAATTTTATATTTCTTATTTTTTAAAACTTTAATGAATTTTGCTTACCAGACTCAACGTTTCAAAAGCAACCTGTGGCAACACTACGGAATGAAATATTTCTATCTCCGTCGCCGGAACTGTCTATTGTTAATTCTAAAAATAAGCTATTAAGTATTTCCTTATTTTCTTCTTGAATTGAGTTGTGCGTGGGGTAAGTGAGAAGAACATGATATTAATTAATAAATTCAACACTCAAAACGTTAATAATAAAAATACAAAAAAAAAAAAAAATTCTGAAAGCTTTCAGATTTTATATTACCCCCAAAGTGGCCTCTTTTTTTTAAACCTTTTGTGTGTAACCTTTATTAATTAAATATCATGTTCTTCGCACTTAAGCGACATAAAGTCAGCAATACTATAAACTATTTTTTAAAAAGTATGAAATAGGTAATAAAACCAATTCGAAATTCAAAATTCGTTCTTCTAGGTGCTCATGTTTGGGTAGTTATTGAAAATTTGATGTCTCTAGGTACCGTCGTTTTTCCACAATGCGAGAAACATACCTACACAGTTAGTTACCTTTATTTAATTTGTTTTAAAATAATGCATGACGATAAAATGATTAATCTTCTACAATAATTCAAAAAAAAAAAAAAAAGAGTTTTGCAAACCATCTTACTAAGAAAACAAAACATTGAAGAATTGAGAAAAGACTGAAAAATATATAAACATTTACGCCACCATTTAATACTGTATCGGGAATTTTAAACATATACTGCTAGGCTGCTTTTAAATTTTTTTGCGGTTTTGTTGTTGAGTTTATTTGGCATAAGTGCGAAGAAATTTATGCTTAATAATAAAGACGAAACGAAATGGCTTAGCAGGAGTAAGTGCAACAGCAGTCCGGTAAACTGCGAGTTCAGCGAGAGCGTAAAGAAAACTTAAGAAACTCTTGGGTGACCGTTAAAAAATCTGAATCCTTACAGATTTTGCTTTTTTATTTCATACAATTCTCAGTAATTTTTATTTCATTCAATACTTAGTCAAAACTTTATTTTACAGCTCCACTAACATTTTCGCCTAAGAGTTAAAAAAAAAAATTACATATGTGTTTTTTTTAACTTGCTTTTTGTACTCTTTGATTGTTTTTTTAATTTTAAATTTAATAAATAATTAATCACTCTACATGTATATACATATTTCTTTTATTGAAAAAGTTTTCGCATTTCAAGTTTATCCTGATAGGGCCACATTTTTTACAGAAACCAAGAATGTTTTGAAACAAATAAAAAGCGAAGGGGGAAAGAAAAAGGAAATTTGAAAGGATTTCAGATTTTAACGTTTCACCAGACAGTCGCTCTCAAGGTCTTTTATGCTGAGCGTTGCAGGTTACCAATCTGCTCTTCGACTACACTCCTGCTAACACAATTGTTTTGCCTTTTTAGCATTATTGCTTCTTCGCACTTATAAGCATTTCAAATTTTTCTAATTAATAAAAATTTTAAAAGCAATATAGCAGTATATATTTTGAATTCCCGATACGATGTTAAATGTAGGCTAACATTTTTCTGTTTTTAGTCCAAAGGGGCTTTGTCCCTGAAGGACTAAAATTTGCATCTCCCTTTAGGCAGATAGCCCTAGTGTGCTTTGCCATAATTAAATACACACCACACGCTGAAGGACTATTGTTTTCGTTTTGCGATTTTGCATTGAATCACTATATATATCCGTTTCACTTTTCAAACTGTTCCAACCAAATGTTAGAGTCTTGCATTATATTTTAAGAAATTAAATTACGACAAATCTGCATAAATGTATGCATATTTCTCGCAATGTGATAAAACAACGGTACATAGAGCCATCGAATTTTCAATCCTCCTACGAATATGGGCGTGTGAAAGACCAAATTTGGAATTTGTTTTATTATCGATTTCATATTTTGTAAAATTTTAACGAATTTCTGAGTAACAAACTCAACGATTTAAAAGCGAGCAATGGCAACACTCTTGGGGGGGGAACTTTTTTATCTCCAGCGGGCGCGGAACGGTGTATCGGAAATTCTAAAGATGGTTTGGTTTAGTTAATTATGGCAAAGCACACTAGGGCTATCTGCCTGAGGGAAGGGATGCCTTCGCGGAGGACCTTCTAAGGAATACTGGCTCGTATACACGTTACACGTGGGGAAAACCACGTAAACGCCCATGCAGCCAGCTCGTTCGCGGGATTCCAACCTCGGACCGAACTACCAGTGTTCAGCGACTACCGCTCAGCCGCTGGTAGGCCCAGGAAATTCTACAGATAAGCTCATTTTAAAATTATCTTGCGACATTGCTAGTGAACTGAATTTTATGGTTTAAAAGCAAAGAACATGATATTTAATAAATAAAGGCAACACACAAAACGCTAAAAAAACGCCTCTTTGGACATAATTTAAAATCTGAAATCCTTCAGCTTTTTTTTTTTTTTTTTCCTGCTTTTTTCAGTTCACGTTATCAACGTTCAGCTTTCTTAGTAAGATGATTTACAAGTTTTTTTTTAATCTTTTTATTATTAACTAACGTGTGTCTAACTTTATTCATTAAATATCACGTATTTCGCATTTACGCCACATAAAAATCAATAGCAAGATCACACAGTATTTAAAAACGGCATAAATACGAAATTACCGTCAGAGGGTTAAGTATTTCAATAATTTTTTTTTAGTTCGCTATATAATTTCTTTGAAAAGTAGCCGCTTGGACTGCCATCCGCCTGAAAGAATTATGATGAAAAAGAAACAAATATAGGAAGATTAAATGATTCCAGTTAGACTAGAAGAGAAACACGCTAATGTGACAATCAAAACCGTAAAAAACAACCTTATATTTAGCGTAGGTATAATGAAACACTCAATCGATTTCGAGGGCAGCTAATGGTCCCTCCTCATCAGGAGAAAGAAATACATAGAAAGAAGAAAATAGGAATCACAGAAACACGTGGTGCTTATCAGCACTGCACGTCGTTATAACTAGATTTTTAATCAGAGTTGCACTGGCCGCCTACTTTTACTGAGCCAGGCTGTCTGATCAAGCATAAAGAAATATTAGCGAAGTTAAAATAGGGAGCGAGGGGCAAATGCACATTACGCTCAAAATCTGAACTTCAAATAATGGAAAGCAACCACTGAACGGATTTTTATACCCTCTGGTAGTACCAAGTGCGAGGAGGTAACGCCATCTATCGCCAGTTCACAGCCCCTCTGCCCCCCGCGACTTCGCTTATTTTTTTATGCTTGATCAGACAGCCTGGCTCAGTTAAAAGTAGGCTGGCCAGTGCAACTCTGATTAAAAATCTAGTTATAACGACGTGCAGTGCTGATAAGCACCACGTGTTTTGTGATTCCTATTTTCTTCTTTCTATGTATTTCTTTCTCCTGATGAGGAGGGACCTTTAGCTGCCCTCGAAATCGATTGAGTGTTTCATTATACCTACGCTAAATATAAGGTTGTTTTTTACGGTTTTGATTGATTCCAGTTAGTTTAATTTCACAAAAGTATATATTTCTGATCAGATATCTTACGATTTTAATGCACTCCTCTTTAAACCAACTATATTTAAAAAGAAAATTAGTCTTAAGAACTATGTTAAATACTTATACTCAGTAATCTTACAGATAAAATTTGAAAGCTCAATGTTTTAGACTTTATTGCGTAGAGTCTCACTTGCTTTGGTAGCAGACACTAAGTCAAGACTAAGTAGATCTAAGTGACTTATCGCTATGTCTAGATAAGCAACCATAAAGGTATGGAGGGTTCCTTTTATTAAGAACTTAAATAGTTGGACAGAAGGCACTTCTGGTGCCTACAAACTCAGCCAGCATTTATGGCTAGAAATAAAAAGTAATGAATTCACATTTATACTATATCTAAGTAGAATTTATTCAAAGGGTGCTAACCTACACTGGCGTAACAGCACAATCTGCAAGTAAACGCTGTGTGCAATTAAGTGAGAAACGTTTCTTCGATATTTTATTTCATACTACAGATGTCTGTGGCGTTCCGACAGATACTTCAACTTCTATTCATGAGATGGCGCCACATGTAAAATCCAGTTCTTAATCGGAGCAGCAAAGCGACGTCATTACTCACTCAGACTTCTCGCAACACAACTGTACGCGACGGTAGCATGAACTGTTTTCCGAGCTCTGTGTTGATCTCTGCAATGTAATTTAAATTGTAATTTAGTACTTAATATATTCTTTTGTTATAGGAGATTGTCTACTCTTATTTTCTTTAATTATATCATGCATTAAGCACACACGACCACCAAATGTCTATTTCTGGGACATATTTTTCTGTACTGGGTTTCTAAAAATTTTACAAATTTAGGCATTTATTCAAATAAAGGTGTTTTTTTTTTTTTTTTTTTTTTTGTGTGTGTGTGTGTGTGTGTGTGTGTGTGTGTGTGTGACTTTCTAGCTCATCAAATATTTGGGGAGCTTTGGTTGCTCCTATTGTTAAAATATTTTATTTTGTGTTAAATTTTAATATTTTCTTTCTTTGCAGATTAACCATACCGATCTACTAGAGGTAACAGCATTGATGATTGCTGTAAGCAAATCTGCTTCTGAAAGGGAACATGCAGCAAATTCAACTAAAAGTCAAACATTATCATATATAGATTTGTGTATGCTCTTGATAGACCGTGGATGTGACATTAATGCTGCTGATAACAAAGGTCGAACTGCTCTGCATATTGCAATTGAAACCGAACAAGCAGCAAATTCATCTACAAGTCAAACTTATCCATATATAGATTTGTGTAGGCTGTTGATAGACCGTGGATATGACGTCAATGCTGCTGACTCCAAAGGTCAAACTGCTCTGCACATTGCAGTTGATACAAAACAAGCAGGAAATTCAACTACAAGCCAAACTCATCCATATATAGATTTGTGTAGGTTGTTGATAGACCGTGAATGCGACGTTAATGCTACTGATTCTAAAGGTCGAACTGCTCTACACATTGCAGTTGAGACAAAAAAAGCAGAAGGTTCAACTACAGGTCGAACGTCTTCATGTATAGATTTGTGTATGCTCTTGATTGACCGTGGATGTTACGTTAATGCTACTGATTCCAAAGGTCGAACAGCTTTGCACATTGCAATTGAGACAAAACAAGAAATTTTAATTCGGAAACTTCTTATTTCTGGAAGTGACATTGACAGACTTGACGTGAATGGCTGTACCCCGTTGTGCTATGCGTGTTTATATGGAAGCCAGAGACTAGTTGATTTACTCATAATTTCCGGCGCTAATATACAGGCCCAAGATTGGGATCATGCGTTAATTATTTTCCATAGGTTGAGAAGTCATCATAGATTAAACGAGGAAAATATTCAGCTATTTAATTACGTTATTTGTGAATCGACGAAGGGTCTTACCTTAGAATCCCTATGTAACATAACTATTAGATTAAATGTTAAAAATATAGAAAGAGATGCCATTCAACTTGGATTACCTCCATTACTGGTAAAACGCCTACAACATAAAAACTGTGGAAATATGTGATATGATTTTATTCACATATGAATAAATATGAGACTTATAAATTGGTACTTGTTACATTAATTATGTATTAATTATTGAGGTTCAAAATTCAATAAAAGGTTGAAAGAATCATAAGTGTACATTTTCTTTTAATGTATTATTAATGTATTTTAATCTAAAGAGCTTTTTAATGTATTATTTAACACTGAAACAATATTTGCTGTTCATTTCTGTAAACATTGTTGTACATTTATAACAGCACAACCAAACAAAACAACCCAGAAGTGAAAATCTGTAGATTTTGAAAACAGGAAAAAGACGATCAGACTCAATCTACATATAATAAGAGGAAGACTTTGTGTGTGTCTTTCGTTCGTGCTTGCGCGTAAGCTAATAGACCCAAGGCTACGAAATTTGGTGCATATGTGCATCTAGACAACAGCCAGCGCACCTCGAAGCGAATTTTTCAAAATTCGAATGAGATTTAGGATTATTAATGTTTATACTAAGAGATATTGCATATTTCATAGCAATTTTTCTATGTGTAATATTTTTTTTTTCCTTAGTACAAAGGGCCAATTTGCCCTGAAGGACTATTAATTTCGTTTTGGCATTTTGCGTTGGTTTACTATTGCTCGTTTTGAAATTATTTTGCGATAATGCTGTGAATTGAATTTTATGGTTTAAGTGCAAAGAACATGATATTTAATACATAAAGGTAACGCACAAAAATGTTTCAAAAACGGTCCTTTGGGTGTAATGTAAAATCTGAAAGCTTTCATATTTTCACTTTTTTTTTACTAAAGTTGTTCTGCAGAGTAAAATTATGTGCAGTTTTTAAATTTAATGTTTGGTATTCTCTTTAGATATTTGTCCGATACATATAAAAGCCAGACGAAGGCTGGCTGCCTAGGGCCTAATATCAAATAAAAAACACCGTTGGATAATAAGGAGCAAACAAGAACCAACGCAGGATTTAATGCGCACTTATGTTGGTTCTCGTTGGCTTTACAATCTTTCACGCACTATCAGACTTTTTATTATTCAATAGTTCCGCCAACAAATAATTGCACAAATTTTTCTTACAGTAAAACGCCGATAACACGAATACGCTTAACGCGAATAATCGAGTAACATGAATACAATTTCTGTCCCGGCAGCGAAGTTTAAGATCTTATTCGAAGTTTTGTGGGTTAGCACGAATTACTACCTATTTTTCAGTCTGTTGAGTTATTACATTTTTTAATTTAATGGGAAATTTTTATTTTCCTGTTGATTCCCTGTTAAAGTTGTGTTCAGAAGCGTTCCTTCCCGTTTAACTGAAAACTTCACAGAGTACACTGTATTCTTTCAAACATAACGCTCACCAGCATGCTTTTATTCTTCGAGAGCTCTGGTGGCACTGTTCGACATACCTGTATATGGTGCTGCGGTAGTTTTAGGAAGTGAGAAAGTGACTCATGGCCGCCAGGAAGATGATAGGCATAGATCTGCAAACAAAACTAAAAATTCTAGAGGAAATAGACTGTTGTTTATTGAACAAATCTACAATTGCCAAATCTACCCTATCCACGATACTTAAAGATCGTAGAAAAATTCTTAATGCCGCTGTTTGGGATCCGGAAACAAATCTGAGTGATTTCGCATTGCTAAATAGGAAGATGTCGAAACTTTACTTGTAGCACTGCTCAATAATGTGTACCCTTCCCATATACCTTTGAGTGGATCTATAATTCAGCCAAAAGCAAACGAGATTGCAAAAAATTTAGCATTCAAGATTATTGTTGTTCCTGTGGTTGGCTTTGTCGCTTCCATAAAAGACACTCGATTTCATCATTGGTGATTTATGATGAAGAAGCAAACAACTGGTTACATGAATCTGATGAATGACAGAAAATTATACCTCGTGTGGTGTCTGTAGTATGGACGAAAGTGGAATTTTTTAGAATCTTTACCCAAGTCATACTCTCGGAATAAAAGGGGGCAGGTGATAAGGTGGATCTCGGAGTAAACAACGCCTAACTGTAGTCCCTGTGTGTAATTTACACTGTAATGATACACAGTATCCTCGTGTCATAATAAGTCCAAGAAACCACGTTGTTTTAAATATATAAACACTAGTTTACCGTACATCTAACCTCACCATAAGATAGCTTTTATCGACTATTCATCATTTCGTAAGTGGTTTCTTTGTTTTATTGTCGAATGGTGCTTCAGAATAGGCTTATTGTTCCGGCACTGAACGGGTAGCATATATGATCTGAACTTGTACTGCCAATGTAAAAGTTCACGTTTTCCCCCAAAATGCAATAAGTTGGCTTCAGATGTTGGATCAACGCATTATCGTACTTATGAAAACATTGTATCGCAATCGATTTGTGACAGATGCTATTTAGGCTGCTGAAAAGAAGAGAGAACGCTAACATGAAGCAAAATGCAATACTCTCTCCGCACTTTGGAAATCAGCGTCATCACAGCACATGCAGAAATGATTTAACAGAGCCTGAAGACATAAAGACACTAATCTTGCTGAGGAGTGATACATTTCACTTGACGAATACAATAGAGCAGTTAGTTTTTACAGATGATTCACTGCCGTTCACTATTTAAAACAACTGCAACAGAAAAACTACAATCCAGTTTCCATGGAAAGTCTTCAACAGGGGCTTCCTTCTTTTAGACATACAACCGTCCTGCTTTTTACAAACCCCTTGAGGCTAAGAATCCACTTTGTTAACAATGCATTGTATAAGCTGGTGATGGTTCTGTAAAGGTATGCGGCGCGTTTACCTGCCACAGAATGGGTCTTTTGGTGAAAGTGAAACAATCGATGACAGGGAGTTGCTGTGTTTTATTATATGATGATCATCTACAGCCATTTATGAACTTCGCATACCCGAATAACGACAGAATCGTCTAAAATGACAATGATACTATCATACCAAGATTATTTCGAAAGTGTTTAGGTAATCAAATTTTCCACTTGCGTTTTAATTGTTGGTTTGCTCTTCAATGGCCTCTCATTGTCCCTCGGGCCATTAATACCCACCCCTGTCCCCATTGGTGGATGCTAATTGCCTACATTGGGAACTACGGGTTATATAGAGTATAGTCTTCTCTGATATGACGATGTTTTTCGAAATTATGGTTAATCATCAAGTCAGTAAACGTAACAGTTGAATTTTACAGTGACGTAATCTTAATATTTTATGCATGCACGTACTTTAGAAAGACATCATGAAATCCATCATTTACTCAGGGAGACACTCTACTTGTAACCTGAACCAAATCAATCTATCAAAAGACACAAATTAAAACTTTTCTTGCCAATCTTTATCAACAAAACACTTGAAGTTAATGTGATCTCAATTAATTTATTAAAATGTGGTTTAGTTTGACTAATTGTAACCTGAAATAGGAAATTATTACTGCTTGTGATAGTTTGCGTATGTTGAAATGTGATAAAACCTGCTTCTAAATAATAAGTTATATTAAACTGAGATATCACATTCTGCATAATTTAAAATGAAGCCTATCAAAGAAAAGTTTAATTATAGTTTAATAATTATATTATTCTTTATATATATTCAACGTATTCTTTGACTTTATTCTGTATCACTTTGGCTGTCAGTTTTTTAGTTCTTTTAATACTTTCATATTCAATTTTTATACACTCAGTCTCAATATTGTTGTGAATTGACACATTTTACAAAAATGAATCTTCATATCTTCCCTCATTAATATTTGTAACATTAGTTTGCAATAAAAATTTTTAACTGATTTTAAGAGATCAACCCCTGCATTAGCTATAATATGCATGGTTTCTAGCAGATATATTGACTAATTCCTCTCTTTCAAAGTGTCTGTATTTTCACAAATTCGATTCTATTCATCATTTACTGAACATCTTGTCTGTAATAGCATTTGAAAACTTTCAAAACACCCTAAAATAAAAAGGTTGAACATTAGTATTTGTGTCTTAAGTTTTTTCGCTTGACATTTCGATATGTTATAAGCAAACAATAAATTTAAAATATGCTCCTTCCAGTTGTAGAGTCCAGGTGGGTTAACTTCTATCTAAAATTGGAGTAGCAAGAAACTACACAGGAAAAGGGTTAAAATACCCTTTATTAAATCTTTGAAAAATTTACAATGCATCAACTCGACACTGACAAACTTCGCCTCTGCTTGGGCGGTAACTAAAAGTCAGATAATTGAAACTAAAAGTTCAAATATTAACAAGTGATAAAACTAGCCTACAGGGCTCAGCGAGATTCCGTAACTTAAACCCTCTTTGAAGCTAGTGGCAGCAGATAAATGCAATTAAGCCACTTGAACCAGCAATGAGCCAAACGTACCTATGGCAGAGATGGTAGCTAGAGCCTAACTCTCCCTTTCTTCTACCGAAACTCGGCTTTTAAGTACCTTTTTCAAAGTAGAAAATTTGCATTTCCTTCCGCGCACTACAACATTTAACTATTCTGGCACTGACAATTAGGGGAATGAAGGTTTTCAGGAAAGATCTAAACTCAAATTGTTAGTTAAAATAAATATAAATCCCTACACAGTGATTTATTCAAATTTTTAAATTTTCGTCTCTTTACTTGTTTAGTTGATTTGCCATTTTATGATTACAAGGATGACAACTGCTTTCCTTGCTTTTTCTTTAGCCTATAGTTACCGATTCTTTTCCATTCAAATGCTTGGAAAAAATGTATGAACTTTTTTATGATTCTCTCTCAACATAGTGTGTCTATCCCAAAGGTAAATAAAGTCTCTGAACAATGGTAGTTCCGACGTTGAGTTCTATTCTAGACGAACGGGGAACGGGCTGGTTGCATAGTTGTTTTCGTAATTTTCCCCATGTGTAACGTGGATACGAGCCAGTTTTCCTAAGAAAGTCCTCCCACGAAGGCATCTCTACTCTCAGGCAGATAGCCTTAGTGTGCTTTGTCGTAATCTCAATAAAAAAACAAACCACAAAGGAAGATTTTGAATGTGGAAACCTTAAAAGGTATGACACAGAAGTTGCACTTCCACCTCCTATCAGCTGGCATTCGAGAAGAAGCATTAACTCATTGATAATGTGTCTACAGGGTCTTTTT